GTTATTTGGGTTTTTTAATCTAAAAAAACAAAAAAGCAACAATTTCTTGACGACCTAATACATACACAAAATTTACTAATAAAGGAAAATTCATGCGAGATAGAATATCACACCCCCCCCATCTAATTTCATATAAATAGAATGCTTGAATACAGTACAGTCTTTCTTTTCACTATCAGTACCTTTATGCATTTGACGTGAAAAGGAAAATTTTGATAATTTCTGTTTAAAAATAGCTGAACCTCAGCCTTCTGTTCAATTAATATCTGGGCAATGCCAGGTAAGGACAGATAGTTGGAAGTACTTCTAAAAAATTAATAGTATTTTATTTTACTTCACATGTATCATAAATAAAAACAAACTAAGTAACTGTTAATTACATACATTTTTTACCAGAATGTTTCAAAATAAATTAACTTTTATTGACCTTACAACATGATCTACTACCATAATACTGAATTTAAACAAGACCTCTTGTTCTACCAACTGAGCTATATGGCTAACCCACTAACACTTGCTAGTACTTTGTACAAACCAAAACTGCCACATTGCTATTCAAACTCTTAAACACAAGTTTGAACATTTCAGCAGCCGAAACGAGGTTTTCAACACTTTTTCATTTTTTATCATATGTAAAAATGATGCAATGGAATTTTGGTACCTACAAATTTTACTCCAATGTTAACAAGCACAGGCGCTCTTATATCTAGAAACTTCTACAAAGTGCCATTAGAGCTGACAGCCCTAAGGAACTTGTGTAATGTGAACAAACTGACCTGAATGACCTTTAAGTGTTGTAACAGGTTTATAGCCACTAGATTCTATTTTCAGCATAGTTATCTGTCCAGAGTAATCTCCAATAAAGGCATGCTTAGACTGCATGTCAAATCTGATTTATAATCAAGGTACATGTAACCATAATTAAATGAATTCAAAAGCAATATTTCTTATAGCTTGTGCTTAAACATAAACATGTAAAATAACTGTATCCAGAAACACATAAATATGGGTGTAAAAATTTTACTAACAATAACAATGTAGACTTTACTGATATTTTACTCCTATGTTTAAGCTTTATTTAATTTAGTGAACAGTAAAACTGTAAATTGCAAAAGACTGTAAAAGTTATAGAAAATGGAAGCAAACAAAAAGGTAAAAACTGTTATTCTAACATTTAAAATAAAAAGATACTGCAAAAAAAAAAAAAAAAGTGTCTGTTCAGTTACATTTGCTAAAAAACCAAAAATTGATTTAAAATATCTATATTTTCAAGTTAATTAGTTTAATGAATTTTTTTCCTACATAAAAGTTTACGTTAGCTTTTATGAAGAAGAGTTTTATGGAATAACTAATGTTTAACATTTCTGAACATTTGACATTTAAATTGGAAATAATGTTGCAGATGAATCATAGTTAAACATATTTATTAACAATTATTTTTCTAATTGTAATACAAGTACTCAAGTAAACAACAAAAATTTGGGAGTCACAAAATTATGATACGAGAGGTTTCAAAGTATTCAGTAAGATTTTTAAGTTTCACTTTTCAAAAATTTTCCAAACCCTTGTGTCTTGAAAAGACTAGCAATTTACTGATATCTTTATGATAATATACTTTGTAATTTAAATAACACACAAGAAATCATGAACTATTTATCTACATTACTACAGATGTCAAGCCACTACTACATGACATTTCACTAAGTTTACACCAGTATACTCCTAATCAGCCACAAACAGTGAGATTTAAGTGAAATGATATTAACTTTTGAAGTTCACAAAATGCTGCAGCTAGATGTAACATGTAAAGTAATTTAATGTCATGCTTCTTACTGATAATAAATCATTTTTCAATACTAACTAGTATAATACACAAGCAGTTTATAAATTCATGTTTTACAGAGCAATAAAAGTTTACTAGTTGGTTAAAATTAATGGATTACATTTGGTAGTAGCTATATTATATGAAATGGAACAAAAATGATTCAGACATTCCCCAAAATTATCCTAGGCGAACGAAATGTTTACAGTGTAACACAAAACTGTTACAAATGCAATTAATGAATCACTTTACAAAATTTGATGACCTTAACATTTGTACTTTAAAATAAATAATGATGTTTGTTGTGTTTACCAAAAAAGTATCAGTAATATTCTTGTTCCATGTGATAAAATTAATGTTCCAATCATCTTATTCTTTTGCTTTCACATCCAATAAATTATACTACAAAAGAACACAGTAATTAATATCAAACATAATTCATATTTACCAGATAGTATATTACTTTCCAGTGAAAAGAAACTGTAGAACAGAATTATTTTAAGCTTAAAAATAAAAAGGAAATTATATAAAATGCAGATATTATAATTCAATTTTTCTTTGTTCTCAGCTACCTGATATACAATTCCATTATCTTTTTTTTTCTATGATAGTTTGTCTTTGAATCATAACAAGAAGACAAGAACAGTAAGTATTTAATGCTATCGATATTTCTGATAATGAGACAGTAAATTAAATTCTTACAAATATAAACTTATAAAATGCATGCCATATGCAACTATAGAAACTATACAAAATAACTGGTTAGTAAATACATTATGCAACACTGGAATCAAATTAGAATAAATTAAATGCAACTCTAAATACTGTATAGAATAAATATTTGGGAAAAAAATACATTATGGTTTTACTAAGACATTCATAGATCTTTGTTAATTACAAAAATGTATGTAGATCACAATAATAGTCTGTTATTGTGGTTGGCATTACAAATACTAAAGTGACAAAAAATAAGTTATAAAACTAATTTATTAGATATTAGTTTAAAAAACAATTTAAAGAACACACAATAAGCAGCTTTTAGTTTGTAGTCCTATTAAAAAACAACTAAATACTGACAAATTGGATAACTCATCTTGGTGCAGTTACAGTTCATGTAAAAAATAAACCTCATACATATAATATAGTTCAAGTTGAGTGTAATATACCAAGTGGCAATTGATTTAATGAACCAAAACATCTCAAATAATTCTAGTTTAGTTAACCATATGATACTGTTGCTAAAACTGACGAGTGTTAAATGCTATATCAAGTTTAAAAAAGATAAATACACAGCAAATAATATAAAATTTACTTTTGATTGTAATACATACACTGAATTTAAAGCTTCTTGTATTGATATAATTGAACTATTTTTGAAAAAGTAAACTTCAAAACTTCATTACAATCAGCTGAAGTATCAGACTATAGAACTTGTTTAAGGACTAAGAACTAGAACTGTTACAGAAGGATACTGCAGAGCTGTACACCAAGCATTACAGTGAAAGCCACCAAATCTTCGTCCAGACTCAGAACAGTGCCACTGAAAGTACTTGTCCCGTCCCACACTAAGTACCCATTCAGTGATTAGTGAAAACACAACTCCAGTCACATGGGCTTGATGAGCTAATTACAAACATTACACATTAAAAATCAAGCAAATAAGAGTACAATTACATTTAACTAACAGTAAAAGTAATTCTAAAAAACAGTTTTCTTTTTAAATGACTGAACTAACTAAAAGTAATTCACTATTGTATGTGCCATCTCTATGGATGTTAAAAATATATACAATTCTAAAAATATGAAAAATGTCTAATGAAACCTCTTAAAATTTTTAGGGAATTCAAGGTGATCAATATCATTTCTACAGAGTTGAACACTGGCTACATTGACTTTATTAGCAAAACCATTCTTTTCTTTAAAAACAAAATTACATACACATGCAAGTCCAAAATCTCTTAAAACAACTACAAGTTGACAAAGCACATTACCCAGGTAATTACGCTGATGAGCCATTCTATTATAGTCCTCAGCTACTTGAAATTCCTAAGTTAAAATAAAAAATATACTTATATAAGAATTACATTTCAAAATTGTTTAACAAAACATCATCTGTAAAATATTTCAGGCTATTATCTCTTAATTGCACATAATAAGCTATGTACAAGCACTTGTAAAATGCCATGTTTTTCTGTTTGTACAAAAATATACACGTTACTCTAAGAATTGTTAAACTACAATAAACATGGCAGTGGAAGATTCAAAAGTAAACCTTAGATGCACTATTTATTCTCTGAAACTGAATAAAACTTATTCATTAAGTTTTATTGATAATACACCAGAAGTGGCAACATGTGGAACATAAGTACCTTGGTGTCCAGCGTTAGGGTCTGAGAGAGTCACATTTGAAAAGAGAGAGAGAGAGAAGAAGAAGAAGAAAAAGAAAAAAACCAATATTGGTTTTAGGCTTCCTGGAATTGATACTGTCTCTAGAAATACATGGGATGCTTCTGATCAGTTGGTGGAAGACATTCTAGTTTAGCAATTAATAATACTTGCTAATTGAGTATATTCAATTAACAGTTAGTACAGTGTTCCTCAGACCACAGCATGTACAAGCATATTCTGCTAGATATTTGTCTTTCATATAGTCAGCAGTTCAAGAAGAAGAAGACAAAAGTTGGCAGTGGGTGCAACTGCCAGTTAACTTTCCTCTAGCCAGCAGTTCAAAATTACTCCATTACGTGTAACAAACATTTATAATAACAACATTTTGATTACTTGGATAGTTGGTTTATTAAAAATAGTAATAATCAAGAATCCTAATTTCAATTAATTGATTATGTTCATGACAACTGATTCAATCGTAATTTTGATTAATTTACTGCTGGAATAACTAGAGAAATAATTGGAAACACTAATTTCAATTAACTGATTTAATTGTAATTGTAATTAATTAATTGGTTTACGTGACACTAATTGAAGTAATCACTGCTCATAGGTCATTGACTATATTGTTTAAATTGTCTAGCTCTAAGACATTATAGGTGATCATTTTCTACTCCTCAGTCAATGTAATGTGAAGTTCACAGACAACATGTGACCTGCATGGCACGTAAAGATGTTCCAGTGTTCTATTGGATTTTAATCAGGTTTTGTTGGCCAATCTATGATCTCTTTAGTATCTTGTTCAAAGTTGTAGCTGTATATCAGAAGCCTGAAAGTATGACATTATAAATCATCCAAAATCAGGACAAAGTCTGAATAGACTGCATTCAAAAATGGTTAAACAACTACATTCAAAACCAAGTCAATACCTATTGAGTAGTAAATCTGACTTTTTGACACACAATTATACAAGTAACCCAATCATAATGCTGGGTTCCCCACACCATAACACTGAGAATATTGTTACCTCTGTGTTTATTGCCACTAAAGCTTCTATTGTAATTGTAGCTCTTCCTTACAAAATTCCATGACTTACCAGGATTTTCATGACCTTTGCAAACCCCAATATTGTCATGTAGTTTCACACAAACCATCAACCTATTGTTTCATTGTTTATGGTACCAAATTGATGAAAATTTAAGTATACTGAAGCACAAAATACAATTTTTTCTATACTATCAGTGATTTCAGTGACTTGAACAGGTTTGAGTATTTCTGTGCACATTACAGAAATTGCAAATGTTGATTTCTTTATCATCATGTACCAACTGTTTTAATCATAAATGAAATGAACCCTTTTCAGTATTGAGTGGTAGGTAGGAGTTCATCACCAAAATCTTACTTGATATATACTGTAATCATAAATGTATTTCCAAATTAAATGATAAATACTTTCTGCAATCCTGTTTTAAAAGTAAACAATTTTTTGTTTAGTAAACAGGAGAATGGCAAAGACTGAATCTGACACACATCCCTACTTCTGTGTCAAATAAAAAGTTTTAAATCTAGTATAACAACTTTGAAAATGAATTTAACACCTGTAATTTTAGTTATAGATAAAATGTTACAAAAATATATATAAAAAAACAACAAAAATCCTGATTGATTTGACCTGATATTAACAGGATCACAGTATTAACTTTCTTGGTATGGGCTCGGCCGATTTCATGACCCCAAACTGATCTTTATAGTTTCCATACTATAACTCCTAATATGTTTTGTGTAACCTCATAAAATTTTGCAAGTTTTCAGTAATCGTCAAGTCATTTGCAGACAAGAAAAAAAAAAAAAGAAATTTTTAATGAAATACTTTCCCTAAAAATTTCTCCATGAATATACGAAGTCAAACTATTGACTGCTCTGAATGCAAAGTAATTTTCATGTTAAGATTAAAAATTTTTCTTCATCTGAAAAATCTCAAATTTCATTTGCATTATCCGTAAAACCTCCAAAATAAATTTCATTTTCTTTCAGTAAAACTTTATATTTTTATCTGCCATTTTCTTTACCCTAACTCTATACGAGATTGGTCAATTTGACCGACCTCATAACCACCAAAAAAAAAAACAATTAAAAAATTATATATTACCTTTTTTCTTTCTGGAATGACTTCAACTTGAAACATGAAACTACATTTGTTTATCCTAAATACCTTTAAACTCATAACAATATACACCTGTTTATACTTCAATTTTATTGTCCTTTGAACCTTAACTAATATTCCCACCACATAAGTTGCAAATCACTTGTCGAATGTGTAGCTCATGTTACCCTATCAAATTACATAATGTAAAGGTTACTCGAAGTTTCCATGAGCGTACCTCATGAGAAATCATTATTATTACCAAGAGAGCAAATGTCACAAACCTCATACTATGGGAAACTCAGGATTTTTTAAAATATTGCCTTATAAAATTAAGAACTTAAAACCTACATAATATTAAAATTTGATTATTAACTGCATTTTGCTGCCACATTTATTCATATACCACAATAACAGAGTACTTTGGTTGAATTTTAATGTGACTGACTAAAACTCTGTAAAATACACAGAAAAATAAAGTATCAAACAAAAAAAAAAATCATGCGTATTTTTATTATCATCATCAACTATAAATTAGGTATTGACTCAAGAAGAAATGCTGAAAAGCAAATTAGCAGTTTTGATAACTATTATTTAATAAAACATTATTTTTTACTCACAAATTTATTTTAATTCTTTTAGAGCAATGCCCCAAAATACAAAATGGTATTCTGTATTATTATTATGAAGTTCATCTACAGCTGCTAGGTTAAACAAAAAATTCAAGTCTGCTCAAAATTATTTTAATTTGGAATCCAGAAATAATCACAATTGCAAAAAGTATTACTCAAGTAAAAACTGTAACATTCTTGTTTCATACAAGATATAAAATCCACCAGATTAAAGAAGTATATCCTTTTCAATGATATGGTTAGAAATGACCAATTATCATACAGTACACACATATGTATCAATTTCTTTAATTTGAAATTATTCCAGTAAATAACTAAAATATACATATGCAACCTGAACACAAGTTTGCATCATGCAAGTCACACATCTAACATTCTAATACTTACAGATATTGAGCCATTTTCCATTCCTACAAAGAGTCTTTTAGTTTCTGAGTTATAGTCCATACATGTTGCTGCAGCTATAAAAATATTAAGAGAAAATATAAAGAAGTTACCCAATTACAATAATATGAAAAAATACATATCTAACTATACATGGACTTGTATAAATGTTTTTTTTTAATAATACATTATACAACAGTAATAAATAATGTTATAAACCAACTTTTCTTATTAATGTTTATCTACATTTAGGGTAACAATTTAACATGTAATCCATCATTTAATAACACACACACAAAATATTCACACCTTCTTTAAATTATTTTATTAATCCTCCATAAATGAGATGATGGAGCTCAAGCAAGGGACTTGCACATCAAGAACAGCAATATTTATCGTTCTTGTACAGAATAAGTAAAATTTAAAAGCTACACAAATGTAAAGTTTTATTATTTTACACTGACTGCCTTTTCTGGTTATAATCTTATACACAACACGCAATGAAAAACTGCATTTAATTTTTGGTCAGGAGGTGGAACAGTTGTACACAAGTATTTTTAAGGAGTCACTTCACTCTTACCTGTAGTTAATGAGGTAAATAGTTTATAAAAAATTTATACACACTTGATTAAAATGATGCATAATTGATAATGTGTTATTTTTGTCAACTTGTTCTTTCAAAAGCAAATAGTATCTCATTTTGTGTGTAACAAATTGTAGTTCATTATATCATGAACTTGTATAGGTACACATATTTAATATTTTAACAATGACTTTCCTATCATTAGTTGTATTATATACTTTATACCCTTGGTGAGTGAACACATCCACTTAAAATAGCTCAAAATCACTTGGGTACATAAGCTCTTATCTTCTACTGGTAACAATTAAAAAAAAAGATCAGTAACAAAGCAACATGTAGATGTTGGTGGTTAACTTCTGAACAGTTACAAAATTAAGTTATTACTTTAATAGGTTTAGTACAATGAGAATACAAAAATTTAAGCATGCAGTCAAGTAACAAACTAGCCAGACCAATAATAAGTGTCCATATGAGATAACTGCTTGTACATGTATATTTTCCTGTCTGTAGAACTCTTTTCTCACTTTACACCCAGATACACAGAGATAAATGCAATCAATGAGCCACATCCTTTGTGACACAATACCGTTGATATGCTTTGTATGTACTATCCATTTATGTAATAGCTTCTACCAGAAGAGTTACTAAACTTCTACAGTAATAATTACAATTAGTAATTAGACTTAATTATGATGTGCATGTAGTATATTGTATTAAAATTAACTGGTGCATTAATATAATTAATTTGATTACAATACATCTACAGCACATTTGTAGCTGACAAAAATATTTGGACACTTGTGTCAAAACTCCTTACAACCTTGACAAATAACAAACAATATCACATTTCACATTCAACTGAGTTAAGCATAATGGTTTCATCGAAACTTCACAAATAAACTATATTCTGCAAATCTAAAATAGAGAAATGTAAAAATCAAAGTATCTCTTCTGGATTAAAATCTGATTAATTAACAGCAGGAAAAAGTTTCTTTAGAGGATTAAACTATAAAATCTACATGAAAATATCTTCAATTAAGTCATTTTCAATTTTACAATCTACAAGACAAAATTCACTGTAAAATGTACATGTGTAATGCATGTGTACAATACCTAATTATATATATTGATGGTCACCACACTTGATATGCACTTTTAGCCCTTTTTTGATACAAGATCATAATGATGGATGAAAATAATATTTATATAAAGTGTAAACTTTATTTGCTAAGAAACATCATACAATACTTCTCCTTTTATAAGTGTGTTATTGGCATTGTTGTAAAATCACCCCAATAAATCTGAAGCTTCCAATCTATGTTGGTTGAGGTATCTCATCTTTGGAGGATTTACTAGCATTCAACACATCTGTGGGGGATGGAATGTGGAAAGCAATTATGCAAGTTATCATTCTAGCCAAGATGGATATGTACCACTTTTGTCATACAAATAGCAGACTTTTTTTCATAATATATGCATAATGTTCTGTTTGTTTATTAACATGACCTATGCTGATGCATTGGATTAACTGCACAGTAACTCGTTTAACATTATACATAGCTGATAATTGCAGTGTATAAAGTACACTTTACAAATGCTTTAACTTTAAAATTTTATAATTAAATTTTTTCCTGTATAGTTTTCAGAATAAGAAAAATTATATGTTTTAGGGCATGGTGCAATTTGACACATTATTCTGTTCTACATTTGGCTTAGTTTTTTTTTTTTTTACTCCTGAGCATATAACTTCAGTGGTGCAAGAATACAACAGGGAAGACTACTGTGAAAGTTATATTCCTACATCTTTGGATTGATTATTCTGACTCATAATAAATCATCTTGTTGATGTCATGAACTACTTGGAAAGTAAAGATGGGAAGAATCATTTTGTTTGTTTGTATTTTGCGAAAGATTGCAAAAAAACATGTGCAAGATGGTAAAAAAATAATACAGGTGCTAAAAAATTAAAAATTATGTAAGAAAGAATTTCTTACATATTTAATTATGAAAGTTGAAATAAAAAAAAAAGAAAGACTTCATAGTGCAATTCATCTTCTATTGAACCATCTCCTAAATTTGAAAACTGGGCCTGTTCTTGAGTTATCAAAATGAATATCAGGTTTTCATTATATCATGCTGTGTATTAAAGTTAGGAAATTAATTAATTACCTCTAAACATAGATTACATTGATTATGGTCATGTAAAGCAATCAATTATTGAAACCATTACAAAAATAATTATACTTGTCATAAGACAGTAGTATTAGGCCCATTATATTTTTAAACACTAAATAATGCAGCTTAATAATATTTCTACTGTGAATTATTGTCTATGCTTTATAACTTACCCACCCCAAAAGTGAAATTGCTACGACAGGTCTCTTAAAGTACAGGCTCAACTGTAATGTCAGAAACTAAGGTTATTATTCAGCATCATAAATCATTAAGAAATATACATGTACTTCATTTGAATGAATACAAGGCATCTAATGCTAAGAATAGAGAACCTTTGAAAAATATTTAGTAATACTCACAAGGCATATAGTGACAGATGCTTGGCCAGTACTGTCCTGTGTCTCTCTTTAACCAAATTCTCACTGTCCTAAGATAAATATAACTTCAGAAATGGTTGTTTAAAGCACACAAATCTGCACAATATACATATTAACCATAAAAATTCTATAAACTGTATAAAATAAAGTGTAAAAACAGTAATTAACCTTGGCAAGTAAACGTCTTAACACTGAAATGCAAGATATAAACAACAAATAGCAATTTTCTATACCAGGTGGTGAGAGAGAGACAAATTGATGTGTGTGTGTGTGTGTGGTGGGGGGGGGGGGGTAGTGCCATTTTAAATTTATTGTTAACCACTAACAAGGGTATGATTGCAAGAGTTTAAGCAGAAAGGACTAGATTTGATTCTTTGCTACATGGTGATATACAAGAAATGAAAATTTAATCCTCAATTTTCAGAAAGCCAATTCAGAGGCCATATTACAAGATTTGTCATCAGTGAATTCAGTAAGAATTAATAGGTGATGGAGAGGTTTGAGTAATGTTGAAAAACAAATTGCTTTTCAATTCAAGAAAGACGTTTCTTAAAACAGATAAAAACTAACAGGAAATATAAAACCTAACTGCCTTGCTAAAAGCAATGGAGCAAATCAAGGATGCATACTATAGGTTTATGAAGTATAAATTCATAGATAGGTTGGAAGATTTACAGTACTACAGGAAGGCTACAAATCAGCAAATCCAAAAGGTCGTAAGAGAAACAGTTGACTGACTCTTTTGAAACTTGACAACATGGACTTTTAAGTACAAAAAAGGTTAGGATGTGAAACTGGCACTTAAAGGCAGGCATGTTTTTTATTGAAGACAAGGAGATGGTTAAGCTTTTAAGCATTTTATAATCTTCTGTTTTTATAAGAAAAATACTAAAAATATTCTGTGGTAAATATTAGAATTGACACGAATCATTTAATTATTATCTCTGCCACCGAAGGTAGACAGGTTATATTTTCATTCCTGTGTGTGTTTGTCAGCAAGATGTCTTGAAAATGGCAAAATGGATTTGGATGAAAGTTGTTATACATTTGGACTATGAACCAACTTAGAAGTGATTAGTGTTTGAGTAGACAAAGTCATACGTCAAGGTCACAAAAATCTAAAATCAAATCATTAACATTTTACTTTTGCAGAGGGTGGGTGTGCATGGACAGCCTTGAAGGGTCAAGTGGTTCCATGTTGTCCACAGTATCCTACTATAATTTGAAAGAAGTTTGTGCATTTGTCCTCCAACTTCTCCTTTGCTTTTGTATTTGGACCCGTCAAATATGGTTTCATCAGGATGTGTCAAGAAGTTATTTTTCTTTTAAAACACATAATTTCATAGTCCATTGATGGCAAAGTACAGATCAGTCAGTGGCAATGGCCACTAGAGGTACTGATAGGATTTCTCCAATTTCCTCTTTTATTGTATGGGGTATACATATAGTATGTACTTTCAATCATTACTGTCATACTTAGGAATATAAATGATGTTTCTGTTTTTGTCCTAATTAGTAAAATATTAATTCCAAAATTGCATTTCATTTTCAAATCCCATCAATCATTTGAGGGATTTTTTTTTCACACATTGTTTATACATACTTTGATGATAGACATTTATATCAAGTGAGACGTTTTTAAGTCACATGTTGCTTATTGCTTTTCAATGATTAAAAAAAGAAAGAAAATGTTGCTTAAGTAATCAAGTCTAGTGGACATGAATAATTTTATTCTTATGTACTTCCAATCTTTATTATCCACTAGCATATTTCTGAAAAACAAATTTTTATGTTAGTAATTGTTAAAATCTTCATTTCCAAAGCTCATCAATATTTGAGGGATTTAACATTCATTGATATAAACACTTCATAACAACATCTATCAACAGTGTGTGCTATATTATAAGACACCTAATACATACATTATTTCTTTTTTATATTTTACACATCAGCCAGGATGTGATCATGCCAAATAAAGTACGCAAGAGAAGCTTATGAAGAACAGAAAGGTCAACCAACAGAAAAAAAAAAAAAAGTGATCACTGCATACATGGCCGCAAACCCCAGTAAAGATGTAGACATAGATAAAACAAAACAATAACTGTTCTCTATAAAATCAATAATTTAATCATAGAAATAAGTTGTTAACTTTCATAAACCTCTCACGGGTACATCTGCAAGTATTACTAATGGGAGTTTCCATAAAATACAACTTTATAATGAATTAACAAGTACTGGAAATTGAAACTTTGTTATTAAGGGTAATAAACAAAAACTCTGAAAGCTCAAAATCCAGGTTTCTTGTTCACAAGATTTACATGTAAAAATTCTCCATAAGAATTATTAATTTGTGAGAGGATTTTCTTGATGATGTGGTATACATTGTTACTTTAAGTTACACATTTGTGTATATGAAACCTTAAGTCTACAATTAATTCAATTAGTATGAGGCACTTTTACAATATGTGGTGAGGTAACCCTGATCGACTGAAGAGAGTTCTGTCACCCTGCTTACTCTTTTTATCTTAGATAATAGATTTTAGTTAGCTGTTCAGTGACTTTGTCACATTCTTTTAGTTCTCATTTATTCTTTATTCACTAACTCTTGAAAGTTGGATTTGATTTTTGTATACTTTATTTACATGTTTATTTCACTATTAACCAACAAGGTCTATTCAGTAGTATTATCATTATTACTAAAGTTTTTGGATCATTAGCAGCAATAATAGTTTATCCCAAATTAACTTGGAGTTTTTAACAATTTGCTTAATGTTTGTAAACATTGAGGTAAATGTTAAAACCAATTAGCACTTAAAAACAGTTTTTCACAGAAAATTCTATCAGTTAATCTGAAAGATTGTCTACTTACTAATAAGTAGACAATCTTTCTAAAAAATTTATGGAATTTACCATGAAAAACTGTTTTTTCAGTTCAATAGTGAATTTTACAAAAAGATTGGTTAGCACTTATTTTATTATGAATAATGAGCACAGTAAGAGAAGGTGTTATGGATCAATTGTAATATTTTTAGGACACACAACATGCGTGCTTATTAATTTTCCACTTAGGTATTATATTACATGACCTACATGAATTTTTCTACTGATGGGAATAATGATGTAGTATCTCATTATTCCCTTCTTTCAAAAAATTGCTTCATGTTCATGCATAAACAGTTGTGTACACATGTCAAGTTCACTGTTAATTTTACATTTACACAAATATATTTTATTTACAAGTTTATATCTACATACTATAGTGACATAAAACGTAATCGGAGAGTCAAAATAATTAAACACCACTTTTCATTCATTTACTTTTATCTATGAATTAATAATAACAAGTACAATATAAATCAGCAAGTCACTTGAAAGTAAAATATTAGGAAATTAATATTCATTGTTAGAGTTTTTAACAACATATGTGACAAGTGCCAAGAAGATTTTTATTAATCAATAAAAAAAGGAAACAGTTAAGGGGCTATTCTTTTTTTTTTCTTTCTTTCTAATTCCTTAAAGATAATATTCTATTTTTTCTTTCACTCATCATATACTTACATGTATTGTATATGTTTGTAATACTATCAATTAGCTTATTGAGCAATTACTTTATTTTTGTCCTTTTTATCTAATATTCTAATAATTTAACCTCAGAATTAAAATAAGAGGATCAACAAGTGACAAAACGCTTTATTCTCATTTTCTGTCAACTTTTAACATATTTAAAAAACATTCAATAAATATTTCAAAATTCTGACATTCAGTTTGCACATTTTAAAAAGGAAAATATCAGTATTCGGTAACATCACTAAAATTATTTACAAAGTCTTTGTTACAGTAAATAACACCAAAGTCTAGCCGCATTTACAGTTTATAACACACTCCTATCTTATACAATTTTCAAAAATTAAGATTACTCAATAATATCATCATCATCATCATATATATTTTCTGAATTTGAATATCTAACAGTGATGAGATGACTATGAACATCTTAGGCTAGCATATTTCTAAGTTCAAAAAGAGTGCATGGAACTTAAAATATTCTTACTTGTCATCACTAATACTGATTACCCCATCTTCTCCAGGTATAATTACTGCCATGTTCACAGTATCTTGATGACCTTCTAGCTTGTTAAGAAGTTGAGGTTTACGTGAATTTCCCAAATTACCTAAGGCTCCTCCAACAGGTTTAATTTCTGCTGCCATTATTTTTATTAACACAAGCTCCAAGTTTCCTTTCACAGAAATAACTAGAAAGTTTTCTCACTTGTGGGTAAGCTTGTACTGAGTAAACACACGATGTTCTGAAGTATCAGTGATACTTGTTAAAATAATAGAGCTTGCAACATAATGGGAGGCTTTTAACTACAGTACAGTACACAGTTTTTAAACCATTAATACACTGTACAGTCTTTAGAATTTAGTAACTTCAACAAATACAAAAAAGGTCAAATACTAATTTAAATTCGAGAAGCAGATGTTATTTATAGGAAAGATACACAGTAACACAACCTTCTTCACACTAATGTTTGTACAAAATTAATAACTTTCCAATTAGCTGTAAATGTCATTCACTTTCGTCTCTAACGATGAAGTAAACCATCTTATTACAAAACACAAAACTTCTCACAGTTATTTAACCCTACGTCTCAGAGTCCAAATAAAAATCACATGACTTGTCACTGACGTTACACATGCGAGTAGACAACAGATATCACTATTAGTGATAAGTCAACTTTCAAGCTTAGACTTAATGCGCATGTAGTCGCGCAAACAAATGTAATCTATAATACTCTATTGTTAAAACTATTATAAAGATTATACTTTATATTTGACCATGTTCAACAAAGCGGCCAGTTAAATGAAAGTGACACTTCAGTGATATTGAAATTTCACCTGACACTCTCATTACACCCCTTTCACATAATTATCTAAATATCGCAGAATAACTAATAGCATTGCGCCCTCTTTCATATATATATATATATAGGTAGATAGATAGGTAAATCATATAGTAAATGTGGGGGAATAAAATGTCGTACAATATTTTAAAACAGTAAATAAGTACAATTAAACTAAGCATAAACTACAAACAAAATAAATATTTTAATGTATCAATACTTTTAATAAATATTCAAACTATCTTTAACAAAACAACCATCTAAGAATGATGCGATTTCGTTTAATATAATGATGGCTCTTTACATTATGTTGACTGAACTTACTAATGTGTTTGATAATATATAGAACCAAGTCGTGTTGTACCTTGGATAATATGTAGAGTTTATTACCTACTGTGTTGTTTATCGCTATAAATGTTGGCTAGTCTCTGGGTGTAGTAATTGAAAGAACTGTTGTATCTCACCCTTTCTATTACAGCACATAATAGAAAAAATGAATAAATTTACATACACAAACTATCGTATTTTCTTTCTCTATTAGCTTAGAAAGATAAATATTTATCGAAATTTTCAGATATGATCGAGTTCAGAGAGCTTATAGACTTCCTCATATAAGAAATCCGTTTTGTGCAGTACTTGCCCTATTTATGTGTTAGTTACACATAATCATGGCTCATGGCTCGTTTAGATATTTTTGCACGTTTTTCACCGACAATGTTGTAAGATATATATTTTGGAATCTTGTATATGCTCTATCCGATAATACTTCTGTGTTTCAGTTTTTAAAATAACATAACATCTGAGAGACAACAAGGGGTCTTTTGACCCATTGTGGATGTTCTATCAATTTCATCAAACACTCATCTGCCTATATTCAGCACTTTTTCTTCAAGCATTCATCCAGCTCCCCCTTGCACGCTCCCAATCATGTTGCGTCTACGACGTTTGAAGAAAGTATAATCTGGAGGTTAAACCATTCCTATTTTCACTTGGGACAACTAATGACGTTGTTAGCACGTGCACTAAGAGAGATGACGTTATAGTTTTCTCCATAAAAAACGCCATATTCTTATACTCTTTCAGTCTAGAGTAGAGTATAACCAGAATCTCTTCAGAATAACATTAAGAATTCTCAAATCTTTTTCGTATTTCTAACAGTGCTGTCTGAGGTGCTGTGAACTTGCCATTACTTGCAAACAACATGGGGAGCACACTAGTCAGCTTGCATCAAATTTGCTCTGTTATCTGTCTTAATTATGAATACATGGCTAATTATCTTCCTGCTGGAATGATCATTAGCGTGGTAGGCAATGTAGAAGTGGCTGGAACTAGCTGTATAGCTATGGTCCCCATTGTTATCTAGTGTCTGAGAGCAAACACACAATTACCAAGACATACAATGACATTGGATGATGATTGCGAAAGCAATAGAAGTTCAACATTGTGGTACAAACGCAATAATTTTCTGATTGAATATGCTCTAATGTTTATGGCATCATATGGCTGTTAGGATTAGACAACAGTAAGTTACCTCCAAATACATACAGATAATACATGTCTGATAAACAATTACAATGGAAGCTTTTTTGGGACTCTATAGATATAGCCAATGTTTAGATACGATAAATACTGAAGGGTGGAATTATACTGCCTTCAGAAAGTGTTTGATCATCAGCAGTCTATATCTTGGTTTTCAATGGATGAATGTGGTGTCCTGTGTTCATGTATTTCTGCTCACACAGCCAAATAAATGTCTAGACGCACTGGAAGGTGCCCATTGAGTCAGAAATTTACATCTGGCTTCTAGATACAGGCTTGTTGAGATGAATAATGAAAACGGGCCCAAAACTGCTTTCGATACGTGATACAGCCTGTATGAATTCCATGTCATGTCATTTAGCCTGTGTAAGGTGCCGGCTAGTTTCGAGCAACTGATGGAGTTTATACTATGAAAGCTGTAATGGGAAAGATGCCTGATCTATTTTTTGAAATGCCTCGGCGTTGGGTCGCAAATTTTAGTCTGCTTCTGAGAATTGAGGAATGGTTCTTCGGTGGGGAAAAATGAAAGCCAAAGCAGTGTGCATACACAAACGGAATTCTTCTATCACATTGTGGAGGGGACATACCTCTGACAAACCCTGTGAAGATTGCATCAGTTAGAAACTGGCTCAATGTGGAAAAAATTATAGCCCTGTAGTTTTTGTTGTATTATCGATAATTTTTATTCAATTGCTTGGAGATGAATGTGTTGTTGTTTCCTTTGACTAAAGCTAAAATGAATATTTTGGGGGACTGAGGTCTGTGACCATGTACTTCAGTCACTAATATGTGTTTTAGCACAAGCTACAGAGTTGGCATACCACATAATCATTGTTCATTTCTGTGGGATACTAATTCTAGCAAAAGTGGAATTGGAGTGGTATTGTCGAATGTGTAGGATAGAGAAGAAGTTGTAATTTAATTAAGCTGGTTATGTACTGATGGATTCTAAGCACATATTCTACAAAACGAAAAATCAATTACTTGGAGTTTTAATATTTGTCTAACACTGTTGACACTACTTGAATGGTAGGAAGTTCATCATTTCTGTGGACCAAGTATAATGAAAATGTCCCATGAACTTTAAAAATATGTATGGAATGATTGCACATGTGATACCAAAGTTGCAAGAGTATGACTGTTATAAGTCGTTAACCAGGCCTGTAATACAAAAATGCCAATGGATTGTCTCACCATAAAGTGAGACCTTGTCTATTTGTTGAAAGTCCTGATACTAGAAATCGTGTGGGAGTGAAATACATTAAAGCAACAGAGATGTCAAAATTTACAATATGTAATCATCGCACTGGTGAATGAACACCACAAATGACACTTCAGAAACTTTGGGAAGAAGAATTAAAGGACACAAATCTAGCTTGGGCACTACTTCCTAGGCAAATAAGTGAAACACAACTGCCATAAATTGAAGAATATATCATGTGGTACTTGTACAAACAGTTATGTATACAAAAAGGTGTATTAAATTTTCATCAAACCACTGAGACATGGTTCAAAGAGTTCTTAGACACAATATATTTCAGATTTACATGCTGAAAAGACTGGAATGTATGGTTCACTCCCTAGAATAGATGTGACATTGTCTTCAGAATGTGTAAAGGTCTGCATTAGTTTGTACTGTACCAATACTACATACTTCAGACTCCTAAAGCATACATTTCTTATCTTCAATATTCTTAAATTTTCAAAGTTATAGTTTTGTAACATATTAAATCTGTTTGAGATTGTGTCTGAAATTCAGTGGTAGAGGCTGATCAGATTATTGTTTTGAATCATATTAAGTGAAGATGAGAAGGGAAATGGCAGAAGTATTTATGCAGCTGTACAAGAGAAGACAAATGAGATATACTGACAGAGAAGCTGTGTTGTAGCTTCTATGATTGGTTGATACGCCAACAATAACATTTGGATCAATATAGCCTTTTAGTTCGTTAAGAAATGTGATTTCAAATGTTTATCCACAGGTTCAGAATTCGTCATAAAGTCGCTCGTTTATGATGAGGCTGATAAAGATTTATGTTATGAAAATATTCAGGTTCTTAGTAAATACATTCCTGTCGAACAGCTGAATATCCTTAATCAACTTACGTCATTATACAGTAGACCTGATTTGAGTTTTGTATTATAGTTACTTCATCATCAGAGTCCTCCAATGACTTCGCATGAAACTTATTATCCATACTTATGTAGTTAGTCTCAGTAAGGGCGATATTTCTAAAATTTAAAATAGATCTAACAAGCCACCCAAATATTATAGACTATCAGTTTTCTGACGTTAGTTTGGAAGACAAAATATTATGGATCAACTTGAGGAACCAGGACTATGGAGAAAGATACTTGCAACAAATCATATCTCAGCCATAGTAAGCAAAGTGTGGCAGTTTGTAACAGGACATTATACAAGGTTGTGAGGACCAATGTGGGTAACTATTGAGCTCATGGGCATCAAGGACAGACACGAAGTATACTTGGCTGACATTGAAGACCCATGCATATTAGGGTTGAACTACTTACTACCGAGGAAGTGTGTAGTTGACTTTGATTAAAATTATGCTTGGGCACAACAAAGGCCAAATTCCAGTAAGTGTTAAAAGAGAGGTTGGACTAACCAGGTGCCATCAAGCTGAAGTCAAAGTGACTGAAGGAGTTGTTGATGGTGAAGTGGAACCAAGTATAGATATTAAAGCCAATAATTTATTTTCTACAAGCAAGTGTTTTGCGCCCTGCTTGGGAGAAGACATCTAGCTTAAGCCATGCGACAAAGAACTAGTAGACACAATGGGACCAGTTGAAGATTGAAGATAGTATTCTTCTCCGGAGATGGGAAACTGCAGATGGGAAAGTGACGACCTGGCAAACATTTATACCGAGAAAGTTGCGGGAAGTTGTGCTGCGTCAATCCCATGATAGTTTAACAGGAGGATATCTCGGAGTTAAGAAGACATTGAGTAATCTACGGAAGAGTTTTACTGAATAGGTATGAGACAAGATGTGGAAGAATGATGTAGAACCTGCAGTACATGTTGTGCAAAAAGGGGACCAAAGCAGAAGGGACGTGCCCCATTGAAGTTATATCAAGAGTAGCCGTTGACATTGCTGGTCCTTTGCCCCAAACTCGTGCTGGAAACAAGTACATTTGTGTGGTGATGGATTATTTCACCAAGTGGCCTGAGGCATATGCAATACCAAATCAGGAAGCTACAACTGTAGGTTCGGCTATTAGTGATTTCTTCTTCAGGTTTGATATGCCACACGAACTGCATTCAGATCAAGGCCATAATTTTGAATCAGCTATGTTCCATAAATGCTGCAAGTTGTTTGACATACGAAAGACCAGAACAACGCCACTTCATCCACAGACCGATGGGATGGTAAAAAAGTACAACTGGACACTGGGACAGGAATTGGCAAAGTTTTGTAATAGCCGCCAAGATGACTGGGATGTCTTACTCACTCCACTGT